TTGTTTGGCATGTTTACATGGGGTGTCTTGAAAGGCAACTTAATCTTGTACTGGCCATCTTTAAGTTGTACTGAACCTTTCATTATTTCCATGAACTTTCTTTCTTCTATTGACATCTCCTCTGTCATTAGAGACATTTTCACTGAAATCTTGATTGTACTGTCTTATCAACAGTTCTTCCAATTTGTCAACACCAATCCGATTAACAGTAACAGCAGGGCAGCTACTCTTACACTGCTTTGCACTGTTTCCATGAAGAGGTCCATTAATCACCCAGCCCAGTAGAGTTCTTATTGCATATGGTCCCTCTCCTCGGCTGTTGATCACTTCCCACGGTTCCATTAACTTTGAGGCGTTTGTGCCAATCAACAAACCAACATCAGCGTTAATACGGGGAATATGTACGTCTTTCAGGTAAGTCCACTTAGACAATTCTTCTTCAGGAATGATATTGTTTGTCGACACGGGCATTTCCTTCTGAGTGAACATACTAGGAAGCTCCAAAAACTGCTCGTCAGCAAATTCAGAGATTTCCAAACCCTTGACAATACAACTTGGAACAGTAGTACTGTGACCCATTGTACGTAGATTAATCTTCGTTTTTCTTCCTTTGATGTTCAGCCTTTCCATTAGACTTTCAGAACAGAAAGTGTCAGTACTTCCTGGATCCAGAAATGCATAAGTTTGTACGATTTTGTTTCCCTTTGTACACTTAACATTGACAGGTAAGATTGAAAGGATGCCGTTACTGCCCCCGGCCCCTGTATGACCACAGGTAGAGACAGCCGTGCCACTCACCGACAGTTCCTTTGGCTGATCTTCGCCTTTGCTTCTTTCCTTTTTCTCAATGTGAAGAATGCTGGGATGACTTTGGTTGCAATCTTTGCAAGATATGCGTTTATTGCAATCCTTGCTCATGTGTCCTATGCGCAGGCAACCAAAGCAAACTCTTTTCTCTTTCAGAAAGTCCAATTTTTCCCAATGTGTTCTTTTTTGCAATTGTGGACAATGCTCCAATGCATGTCCGTGCATACAATACAAACAGGAAACAACATTTGAACTTGTAGGTGTCATACTTTGTGTTTGAGTCTGAATGCTTTTCTTGATTGCATTCACAGCTGGTTCAGTAGACATAAAGACAGTGGTTGCAAAGCTGTTTCTTTTGAACTGCGCCTTTTGCTCTAACTTGGCCTTGTTGCCTCCTTTATTTACACCACCTTGAGTGTCTTGAATGTCGCCAAAGATTGGATCCGAAATGATCTTGACTTGGTACTCGATGAACCTGATTATGTCTTTATAGTCAGATCTGCGACCTTCGGTTTCAGAGATGTCACACGCTGTCACTCTCCATTTCTCTCTGAGCTTGTAAGGAAGTTTCTGCATTATTGTTTTCATGTTTGCAGGCATATTGAGTTCATCTAAATATTGCAACTCCTTCATAGCGTTGCAACACTCTCGTAAACACAATGCATATGCCTGTAGCCCTTTAACATATTCTGCCTTAACAGCAGTCCATCCAATGATTTTATCCACATAGGCAGCTGTGACCTTTATTTCATTTCCAAAATGTTTTCCAAGAAGGTCTTTGGCCGTAGCATAGCCTGTCTCCGGAGCCATGTGCTGGCAGCTACGTACCAGATCTCTAGGCTGCCCCCTAGTGAATTGCTCAATATAATACAAACAATCTCCTCTGTTGTTTGTTTTAGCTTCCACACAATGTTCAAAAGCTCTGATGAATGATCTAAATTTCAGCGGATCTCCACCAAAAATAGGTATTTCTCTGCGTGGTAGAAACTGAGAGTTCTGTGTCTGTATAAGGAGTGCTGTTACTTCATTTTGTCTTTGTAACAGACTGTAGAGATCTCCAGTTACTTGAGGATTGCCTTGGGATTGTGTTGCTGGTTGACCACTAGGATTTATATCTGATTGATGCGAGTTATTTTGCTCAGAAGTTTGCCACTTGAAGCTTGTCTGCATAGTCGCACCTTTACTTTCATATTTGTCCGCTTCCATTAGTTTTTCCACTGTTGCCTTAGGGTTGGCAGACCATGCATATTTCTGCCGAGATGATTCTTTTTGCAGTGGGTTGTATTGTTCAGCATGAGGCTTGAGTTTTGCTCCTTTTTTGAAATAGGATTCCATTCCATCCGAATGTGCATTTGAAACACTGCCATGACACGAGGCATTCAATACTGCTAGTTTTGCTGTAGTTGCTGCTATCTCAGTGTCCATTTCGTGTTGCTCCTTTGCCATCCTCAGCTGTTCCGCTTGTTCCTCCAAGACATGCTTTTTCTGTAGCGCTGCAGCACGTGCCATGAGTTCACCACTTTCTCTTCAGTTATCCATTTTCTCCTCATACCAATAAATCATAATATTTGCATTCGTTAAATCTGCACGGTCAAAAACTGTTTGCTTCTACCTATTAGCAACCACCTGTGTCCAATGACCCCACTGATTATATTACCAGTGGCCTGACTCACACAGGCACTACGCCCCCATGTGGTGGGAGGTTGTACAAAACAAAAACAACAAAATGGCTCTTACAGATATCTTCACTGCTCAAATTTTGTATTTCAGCAGCACTAACCACAATATTGTAATATGTCCAATACGCAACACTGAAGATGGAGATGACAGCTAACTAGACCTGTAAGAGAGTCGTTTGAATCATTTACCACGTGACATTTGTGTGTTTTTAGAAGTACAGTATTAGCTAGGAGTGGTGAAGGATGTTGTATAAGTGTATTCCTGAACACGGAGATCTGCAAACTGACTGAAGTTCTCTAAAGTAAATTACCTACGCTGACTAAACCATCTCACCGCTGTTGGCTGCAATATAATTAAACACCATTTATGACTTGTAAAGGTATATTCTTATGAGTCTGCATGTGATGGAAGCCAAATCTGAATGGCTCATTGAATCACATGTTTTGTGATTTAGGCGGCCCACAAAAAACTGACTGGTTTGTCTTATTTCACAGTTTGTTGATAGGTCCCTCCACATACCCAAATGTATGTGCACAAGCACTGAAAAAGTGAGTTTTTCATGTGCCCTTTAACTGGGAGAAGAAAAGAGGCTGGTTTCGACTGGAAAGAGAGCCATTGAGTAGAATCCACACATTTTGTCATTACGTTTTTGTGAGTGTGCTTCTGCTCTTGGATTTTTATACTTTTATATAAAACCTGTGTATAATAATTTACAATGTGCTACATCGTGTAATCCTCCGTTTTAACTTCTCTACGCATGGCATCCTTCTGGGTGTGGGTCAGATCTTTGCCTGTGGAGCTTTGCGGCCCTCCCTCCTCATCCTGGGTGCTGTTCTGCTCTACTCTCCCCTGCTGGCCGCCCATGCTCTGCTGGGATCAGCAGTGGGAACGTTGGCTGGTGAGTCATCTGAGTGTTCACATGTCTGTGTGGGAGGAGTGGGAGCGTTAGCAAAACCTTATAATATATTATATAATAATAAGGGCATACCGTACTGTACTGACCTCATACGATGGTTGGTGTCTTTTAGGTTGAACAAATCTGGGTCGAAGTTCCATATTTTCAGGGTCCATGGGCACCACACATTTTAAATGTCAGTGATTAGTCTCACTGTATAATACCTGGCCATGGGTATACTTACACAAAAACTCCAACATTTCAGACATACATGTCAGTTTACTAGTTATAGGGAGTACTTCTCAGCCTGTGAAAACAGTTGTGTAATAATTTCCTTTGTGGCTCTGGAGGTGCTTTGTTGGGTTTGAGAAATAACCCCTAATTAAATCATCAGGGTTACATCGGCTTGCACTTTGAGACAACATTTACAAGGAAAAGCCTGTAATTCTGGATGGGTGTGGAGTTTGCGGAGGCAGGATCCAGTGTTTCTAGAGCTTGATATACTACAGACTTAATTAACTCCGAACAATATAAGTAAATTGTTTCTTTCCACCTGCAATTAACTGTGATTTAGTAAAAACTAGTAAGAAGTCATATTTTTGATAACCGAGTAAAGTTAACTAATTTAATGTAAGTGTGGACAGCTATTACATTTTACAGTGTACTTGTATTAGTGCAGTGTATTGTTTAGGCAAGAATCAATCTGTGTTCAGTCAAACCTTTGAGGTCAAGCTGCCGCTCCTGTCGGCAGAATATGACTCAACAGATGATTATACATACTTTGAATGATGTTTATCCTGGTTTCCTTTGCTCTCATGTGCTGGTGAAATAACTGAGGCAACACTGACAAGAGTTACACCAATCAGAGGAAGACATACATTTAATTTTAAGGCTTGGTTGGCTTTCACAAGCATCCGCACATCTGTCGGGATTCGTTGCTGTTTACTAAGAAATATAGAAAAAAACCATATAGTCTAGTTCAATCTCTGCGTCAGAGAGAAAGACACTATATCAGTAATTTCTAACTCACAGTTTATATTTTTGATACATGCATTTCATACTGTGTCATTGTGTCCTCCATTTTTTTTATATTTACTGAAGTAATTTCTTAGTCCGTATATGAAAATAAAAACTATTAAAGAATTAAATTCTGAATGACAATGTTCATCCCACTCAGAGAGGATCAAATGGTCACTACAGTTTCTTGAGATGGTTGACCGCTAAACATTTAAACAGAACAGTCTTGATCGACATATTCATTAGCTGCAGTGTGAAAGAACGTTACGGCAAGTTAAGATGAATATCTCATATCTATAGGTGGTGTTGAACAGCTTTAACCTGCTGCTGCTGGTAAATAAAATGATGAAGATAAATCAACAAAATGATAAAATGAAAAAGATTACTGGTCAAAAACTTGCCCGGCCAGTTTAATCTATTGATCTGCCATTCTTAGGACCAAAGCCAGGCTTTCTGTTCCACCTTGTGTTGAGCAGCATTGACTGAGTAGATTGTAAGAAAAAAGCAGAAGTTCAATTTGTGCATTTACTTGTGTGACAGAGTAACAGTTCCGGGTTAAGGGCAAGGTTGGTCACGGATGAAAAAAAAAAAAAAAAGAGGGGGAAAGGATCTCGAGTCTTCGGTACGCGCATAGTGTTGAACTGACTAACCGTTACCGTTACACCGGTTTGCTGTGGAGTTTGTCGAATTTGTGGCTCCCCTAAAAAAAATTTCATCAGCGAGAACGGTGACATCGGAACAACTGGTGCTCGACTAACAGCGGCTAGCGAGGCTAACTGTGAAACACGGCTGTGTGTGTATTTTTGAGGTTAAACGTTAATTCAGTAAACCGGTGCTACCACCATCGTCTGTTGAGGAAGCCTCGGCGGGACCTCCTGAATAACACGGGTGAGTTATTAGTTACTGCTAAGTAACTCCATGTGTAGAATCAATCAGCATGCTAATCTGCCCACACGTTGAATTAGCTTAGCACCTTTCACGTCACCTGCCAATTAGGTTTTGATTAAAATGGTTGCCTTGCCGAAGTGTGTTACCAACGGTTGCTAACCCGGGCAATGTTAGCTATCTGAGCGTAACGTTAGCTAACATTAAACATAACCCTTGTGACACGAGTTTAATGTATCTAACATTACGGTAACATTACGGTGAAATTCCGTATATTTAAATAAATTGAACCAATTGGCGAGTTTACTGTTAGGAACGAGTAGCTCAAAACTAAATATGTAATATTAGGTTGCTAGCTAACAGCTAATTCACCGTTTGAACGTTCAGTTATCGTGAATTGGTATCAGTTAACGTTAAGGCTTGTGGTCTAGCTAGTTATGTTGAAGGTGTAAAAAATGTAAAAATATTGATTTGTTACTGTTTTTTTCCTCTTGATATGATCTTCAGAGATCTAACAAACCAAATATACAAGTGTTTTTTCACAGTACATATATGGTAATAGCTCTGTTTTATGTCATACAGGGACGAAAAATAAAGAAATGTATTTATATCAGTCTAACGTTACTGTGAGGGAAAGTGTTGGTATATTTAAATGAATTAAAAATAAAACAATTATTTATTATTGTGAATACTTACATTTGAAAACTTTATTAGAAATATAATTATAGTTTATAGCTGTGTCTCTAAAGATGAGATATATGTAGGAATATTAGGCAAAACACCCATACCTTTAACAGATTATTTACTTTATAATATATTACTTTTACATTTACACTTATTATTTTATCTACCTTTTGTACTTTTATTATTTACCATCCAAATAAGATAAAATTCTTTACATTAATTGTAAAAATAATGATTGGGGGAGGAAAATATATCAGACCAAGCAAGTTGTTTAAGATATGCATTATTTTAAAGTTGTAAGATCAAGTAAATGTAATATTTATATTAAATTTGACCAACCACCATTGACTAGGTTATTTTACGATTATTACTCTATCGAGATGTATATTTTAAAGTAGTTATGCCAAAGTATTGTTTAAATAATGGATGAATGAAATTTCAGTGATAGCATCAGTAATTACCATTGATGAAACTGATAAAACTCCTTTATTGAAGATGGAATTCAGTAATCTTATTTCATCTTTCAAAGCAGTTTATCACAAGTCTGTATGTAAGGGAAAAAATCAAATGTACCATAAATAACACTGCACAACTGCCAATGGCTGTGAATGAGATCATTTGGCATGCAGATGAGAGGGCACTTCAACATTTTCAAATAACTCTGTTCTGCACACTTATTGCTAGAGTGCCAGTGGTTAAGCCATTGGCACGTGTACCTAAGGTTGCCCACCCCTGTACAATGGAATATCTTCATCATCACTCAGTATTTAAGTGCAGTGTTGTAAGTTTCTGTGTTTTTTTCATGTGCTTTGGGCCTGTTTTCAGATTTCCCACTGCATCTGCTCTCAGCAAGATTTGTGCAAGCACTGTCATCTCCTGTGAACATCTAAAAACAACAAAAAGCAGTGAGTATTTTGACTATACGGCAGCATTTGCTGAAATGGATTGAATTGGCTAAATACATATATACACATTCCAGGTGGAACGTTTTTTAATGTGAACAGTTTGATTGAATAAAGAGTTTATTTGGTGGTCGCTTACACAAAATGTTTTTCTCAGTTGTAAGATCTTTATTAACACTTATGTAGTTTTTGCATCTAATGAGCTTACAACTTATGGATGTAATATTCATACCTGCAAACTTGTCGAAATTTGCTGTTTTGAATCAAAATATATCATCCACGTGAATCGTATTGTTTTTATTTTGGGGGGGGGGGGGGGTGGTCCAACTGGCCAGGCAGCGTTTCTCAGATTGGAGTGAGAAAAGGTGATGTGATCTTCGCAAAAAAACATCTTTCATGTGACGTGTCGAGTCTTGGCCAATCAGCGTTAAGATGTCTACACCGTCTTTCACTCCATTAAAGTTTAAGTTCCGTTATGTTCCGTTACAGTTCAGACTTGCTGGGTTAAGTTAACGTCCACTGCATGCGGAACTTTGTCGACTGCTAACGTTCGTCATTATTGCGATTTAGGAGGAAAAAACGTAACGTGATGAAACATGAAGCCCCCTCGTGTTCCGGTTCAGTTCACGCGGTCACTCATTAACGTTAAACCCGAACACCGGCGCATCCGGTTGCAGGTTGTTTTTTTTAACTCAAAGTAGAATGAGGATGATTTCGTGGTCATAATAACTTTTATGACTACGATGATGAGGCCCAGATACTGATGAGATGATGAGGTCAAAGAGCTTCAGGCAGAGGAGGCTGTTTGTGTAGCGCAGCTTGATGAAGGGCTGAGATGTGAGTGGAGCTGGGCCTGGAAAAAGGTGGAGATCTAAACAGACGTGAAGGGAGAGCAGTACAGCTTCCTGCTGTCACAGTGTTTTAAATACATTGATAAGGCAGGGTATGCTAAACACAGCCTCTGCTCCAAGGAGATAAAGTACAGCAACAAGGGCTCACATGCCCTCTCATCACACTGCCAGACACTGTTCACTGTGATGACCACAGCCAGCGTACTAACCGTCCCAACAGTCCCACGTGCAGTTAAATCACAGCTATTATTTTACTCTTGATAAGCTACTTTAGCCAGAGTAGATTATCATTTTAATTTAAATAATTGAACTGGATTGGATGCATATTAATTGCAAATAGAAGATAGGCCACAATTCTAACAGCTTTAGAGTAACAGTGGAAGTTAATATGAAGCCATACAGTAACAGGGTTCAATGAAATCTAATCACTTTATTTTGTATAGGCGATGGTTCTCGATACTCTTGCTGTCTTTGTTTTTATATGACTAAAACTTTTGAAAATGAGACCTCGGTCCAGGGTAGGAAATTTACATATTTTTTAGGGGGCAATCCCCCACTGACTGAAATCCAGGGGCATTTAAAAAGAAATTTGGGGCACTTTTTGAAACTTGTGAAATAACATTTAACCTTTGTTCAAAATAATAAATATACTTATTTAGGCTGACAGTATATGAGCAATTGTCATCAAATGACAATAATAACTATTAGGCAGTAGTCTACAGATTCAAAGTGTTTTCTTAGATTGTTTTGAACAAAAAACAAACATAAATCAGACAATCATATTCAATTTTATTCTTAAGTCTTTGTGGTTATTTATTGTTATTATTACATTTTTTAAACAACTATTAACAATTATTACGTCAACGATGCTTTGATTACATATACATCAGTCATTGTATGGAATTATTGAGACAAATACTTTTGTAGCACCTCAAATATTGTGATATTACCCATTTTTGTCCTGAAATTATGCATTAGTCATTGTGTGGAATTTTTGAGAAAATCATTTTTATAGCACCTTAAAAATTTAAAAAATGTGCCAATTGAAGGTACAAATTGAGTTCAGAGTTTTTACTTCGTAAAATATCTTAATTGACTGTCAGTCAGGTATTATTCATTAGCAACCCTCAAATCAAAGAATAAAGACACTTTACCCACAATTTAGGTGTATTTTCCCTTTAACTCACGAGATGCAGGTAGCATGTTTTATACTTAATGTGAATATAATTCATACTTTGTTGGCATCTTATGCTGAAAACCGGATGTTCATCTGAAGAAACCGGATGTTGTCTCACGTTAATCTTTCTGCTAACTTTCAAAGTCCTTCGCTCGCTCCCGATCTGTGCCGTTTGAATGCGTTTACCGTGAATTTCAGCATATAGGTGCGCTACAATTGAAGTGTCTGCTGAGTTGACCGCAGTCACAGGTGATGAATAAGCGCTCCATTTGTTTAGAACGTTCGGTTCTTCACCCACGCAACATCAGTCAAGGCGAAATTCAAAAACATTCTATGGCAACTGGACCGGGTCATATAGGCTACGATGTTTTTGACAAGTTCATTAAATTGTCATTATTAGTAGAGGAAATTATGGGGGCATTTTTTGCCCCTCTCCTAGTAATATCAGGGGCAAAATTATATTTCTGAGGGGCAGTTTTGCCCTTTGCCCTCGTGTATTTCCGATGCTGCCTCGGTCTCAATGGATTTTGTCTAAATGTAGGTTAATAATAATAGAGCTGAAATACTGATTAATAACTGAATAGTGAATTAGTTTTTTGCTTAAAGTGAATGTCTTATCACTTAATTTTCTTCTCAGAGTACACCAGAATGCTACATTTTAAAGCTCATATGTAAAATAAAATTCTCCTGGGGGAGCATGCCCCCCCGACAGGGTTTCGGTGCTTGTCACCTTTTTCACCTCGTTTGCAGGTAAGAATATTAACTGGACTTGCAGTAATGGATGGTATTTCATCATTTTACTTAACCCAGTACATTCGAGGAAAGACAGCCTTAGATCCGTGGAACAATGTAAGCTTATTGAGGAGATGGTCTGCAGACATTTCTTGTTTAAAAAAACATTGATTGGATCTAAAACTGAACATTATCTTGACCAGAAATGATTATCGAACAATCTCTAATATTTGTGGTTAGATTCTTACTATATCATTATTTTATTTGTGATGCACCTTTTTAGAAGAATACCAGAAAGTATATATGTTAATTAGGGGTGTAAGGGTTCACAAAATTTTCGGTTCTGTTCAATACGGTACAGTGGTGCTACGGTTCGGTATGGCACGGTTCAATACAGCAGAAAAGCAGAAATGCCATCATAAAGTATGTTATTTTTTTTACTTTGAACAATGATGGATTCATTTGTGTACAGGAAGCTGCAGCAACTCCTGTTTTGTCTTCAACACGTGGGCTGCTGTTGTGCTTCTGTGAAAGAAGGTCACACTCTCTCTGATCTTTGGAGGAGGCCAGAGATCCGCTGCACTGTCGCTAGATTAATGACATCGGCCTATTTGTGTCATTACAGTGAGGTAGCCCGTGACGTCCGGCCATCTGTTGTCAGAGCGACAGCGGGTGCTTCGGACATTTGATTCTCTGTTTGGGCTTTAGTTTTCTTTTACAAAGCAGGAATTATAGTCTGGAGAAATGGGCTCCTGAATGAGTAGTGTCAATAGCATTAAGCATGTTCGTACAGCCTGATTTTCCACTCCAGAGTAGGTCTCATATCCGTGGCTATAAATATAACAATCTCCGTGGCGATTGCTTTAGCCCTGTTTGAATCAGTAGGGAACAGCTACCTAGACACTGCGGGGAGAGTTTGTAGCGTGTGTGCTGCTGTTGGTTTTCCTGCTAAGCTAGTTTAGCACAGCGCGCCTCCCAGAACACACAGGCCTCACCAGAGTAGAATGTTATTCTGTGGTGGGCGTGTCAGACAGCACGTTGTCTGTTACGTTGGGTGGGTTGCCATGGTGAGCGCAGTGGCTCCACTGAAAGAACATTATATTTCCCACAATTTAAGCTTCTACATTTTCCAAATGCAAAAGTATTATTCAAATGCATTATTCGGTTCGTAATGCGTAAGCCTCGTACCGAACGGTTCAATTCGAACACGTGTATTGTTACACCCCTAATGGTAATAGAATTGCACATCCAATGACTTCATCGAAGTACCAGAGTACCAGAGTCCGCAAAAGAGCATTTTAAGACGTGAAGGTTGTAAACATTAGTTCACTTCTGTAGTTTTATCTGGATTCAGCCTGTTCAATAATAACCCATTGAAATATTAACCAAACAAAACATTTTTTCCAGTATTATGTTTTTTACACTGATGAGAAGGTGACACCAAGGTGATGGCTAAACCTTTAGCAATTTAGATATGTCTCTTATAACAAGGCTGTTGTTGTTAGAGCTGACCAATAAGTAGATTAATAGATAACTAATTGAAAGCTTTCCCTTTTTTTCTTGTATCATTGTTTTATCAAACATTTCAATCTTACACCTTCTCATTTGTGAGGATTGCTGCTTTGTTGTCTTATGTGATGGTAAAACAAAATATCCATAGGTTTTGAAATGTTGGTTGGATAAAACAAAATCAGTTTGGGCTCATGCAATTGTAATCAAATTTTGTATTGATCAAATGATGATTGGCAGATAAATCGGTAATACAAAGTGAAAGTGGCAGCCTTGTGATCTGTTGAGAGGAACAAGAATTTTAGGAGTGAGTGGCATGGTGTTTAGTGTGTTTTTGTGTGTGTGCGTATGTTTTTTTTCAGATAACGTCCAGTGGTGGTGACAAATCATGGGTAGCTGGAATTCATGAAACTGCCAAAATGTCTTCAATCCTAGGACTACCTACAAAATACTCAGATGTAACAGTCTTCATAAGCAGAGTCCATTTGCATCCCTTTTGTGTGCTTGTGGAGTTCTGGGGGAAATTTAGCGAGGAGAGGACGGCAGATTATGAGTGCCTTGCCAAAGAGATTCAATCTCCTGGAAACACATTTCGAATATTTGAAGGAAATCCTGGTGACCAGTGCTTGGCTCAAGTAGACGGTACTTGGTACAGGTCCCGCATAGTCTCAAGAAATGGCTCGAAATACAGTGTGTTCCTCTTTGACAAAGGGAGAACATATACCACTACCACAAGTCAGCTGGCATGGGGCAAGAAGAACCACTTCCACCTGCCACCCGAAGTGGAATTTTGTGTCCTAGCCAATGTGTTACCACTCTCACCTGAGAAGAGATGGTCTCCAGTGGCCCTTGCATTTCTAAAATCTCTCTCTGGGAAGTCTGTGAAGGCACATGTGCAAGATGTACTTGTGGTGCACGGAACATTTCTCCTACACATCCCTTGCATATCAAAACAAATGTGTGAGATGGGAATTTCCAGGAAGCTGTCTCCAGATGTGTTCCTGGACTTTGTCCTTATGTCACTGCAGTCCCATGGGAGAGTGGAGGTGTGTCCAGAGACACAGATCTCCATGGGAGCGGGTGAGCGACTGAATAAGAAAGAGCTCTTCATGTACCCAGAGCTGTCAGCAGGAACTGTGGAGACCGTCATAGTCACAGAAGTGACAAATCCCCAGCGGATGTTTTGCCAGTTGAAGGTCTTCTCACAAGAGCTGAAGAAACTCTCGGGGCAAATCACACAGTGCTGTGAGGGCAGAACAACCAATTGCATTTTAAGTCCAGAAATGATTGGTTTTCCGTGCGCTGCAAGAGGAAGTGACGGCACGTGGTACCGCTCTGTTCTACAACAGGTATGCTCAAACAAAGTGGTGGAAGTGTTAAACGTAGACTATGGAACAAAACAGTTTGTTCAAATGGAGAATGTAAGACCACTGGCTGCAGAGTTCTTCAGGATGCCCGTTGTGACTTACAACTGTTCCCTCCATGGAGTCACTGACCAAGGGGTTGGATGGACAACCAGCCAGATTGACTATCTCAGGACACTTCTTCTGTACAAGACAGTGATTGCCAAATTCGAGTACCAAAGCATCTCTGAGGGTGTTCACTATGTCACGCTCCATGGGGATGAAAACGCAAACATTAACAAATTGTTTGGTTCCAAGGAGAGCTGTTTTCTGAAGAGTGAAAAGACACTTGGAGATTATGCCATCCGCAGCACTGCATCCAGCCGCAAGCATCCAGCTCAACAAGAACATCTGTCTTTCATTTCTTTAACTCCTGGACAGGCTTTAGAGGAAAAAGAAAGGAAAGGAATAGTGAAGTTGCCAGCTGAAGACCTCTCACTGAGCTCTGGCCATGCTGAAAGGGCTGAGACACAGCGACGACTCAAAACTAAGATGACTACGCAACCTGCTATTCTGCCACAACTCCCAGATGCCAGGCTCTCGCATGTATACAGCAACAAAGAAATGTCTTTCCAGACGCCCCTAGACACAGTTGGCCCTGCCGGTAATGAAAAACAAATTCCTACATTCAAGGAGCACATGTTTGCAATTGGAAGTGTCATTGATGTCAGTGTGTCCTACATCAAAAGCCCAAATGACTTCTGGTGCCAACAAGTACAAAATGCAGGGCACTTGAAAGTGCTCATGCATGACCTACAGGCTCATTATGCTGGCAGTGAGTTCCAACCCAATGTGGAAATGACTTGTATCGCTCGCCACCCTGATAACAGAATGTGGTACAGGGCCCTTGTAATTCACAAACATGAAACGCCTAATGTGGATGTATTATTTGTTGACTATGGCCAGACAGAAACAGTCTCCGTCTCTGACCTGAGGAGGATCAGCCCACAATTTCTTGCTCTGCAAGGCCAAGCTTTTCGATGCAGTCTGCTAAACCCTGTTGACCCCACCTCTGCCATAAATGAGTGGAATGAAAAAGCGACAGCAAAGTTCCACAGCTTTGTGGAAACTGAGGCCTCCAACTTTGGGATTTTGAAGTGCACCATATATGCTGTCATGTACAGTGAGCAGAAGATTGTTTACAACATTGTGGATCTAGAAACTCCCTTTGAGAGCATCTGCACGAGTATGGTCAATCTGGTCAAAAGTGCACCTCCCAAGAAAGCTGCTGGGCCATCTTTCCGTCTGGACACATACTACTACTCAACACACAATGTCAAAACTGGAACAGAGGAACAGGTCACAGTGACATGTGTGAACAATGTCCATGAGTTCTACTGCCACCTCGAGAGAAACACTGATGAGATAAAAGATCTTGAGATGAAAGTGAGAAATATTTGTCATCAGCTTGAGAATGTAAAGCTCCCAACTGTCTTTGGAACTTTGTGCTTTGCAAAATACACCGATGGGCACTGGTACAGGGGACAGATCAGGGCCACAAAGCCAGCGATTCTGGTTAACTTTGTGGATTATGGTGACACTATTGAGGTGGAAAAGTCTGACTTGCTTCCAGTTCCCAGAGAGGCTAATGACATCATGTCTGTGCCTGTGCAAGCAGTTGTGTGTAGTCTCTCTGATGTCCCTGCCAATGTTCCCACTGAGATGAACTGCTGGTTTGAGACAAGTGCAACAGAATGTAAATTTCGAGCACTAGTAGTGGCCCGAGAAGCTGATGGGAAACTGCAGGTTGAGCTGTATCACGGAAACACACAGGTCAATTCGAAGATCAAGAAGAAGTTTCAGACTGAGAAGCACACAGAGAATGTTGTCAACCAGAGTCGGAGAGCGCTCGAGGCTTCAGCAAGTTGTTCACAAAAGACTACAAAAGTTGTCACAAAACAAGCTGCAGAAATGGAAGATCGCACTCAAACCATCAATAAAAATGCCTCCACCCCAAAACCAGCAGGTCAAAAGAGGAATGCCGATATGAATCTGCAGTCTGCACCAAAGCCTTTGCACTATGTTTCTGAAAATGGCTGGAAAATGAGACCTGCTCCTTTGGAGTTCTACATACCGCCACACAAAAGACAGTCATGTAGAAGCACACCAAGTAGTACAGGAAATGGCTCTGAGCCGGCAGATGCCCATCTCAATCCCAGAAAAGGATGTCTTTCCACAGAAACTAAACAGCTAATCAAGTCCACATCATCTAGCACTGAATCTCTGAAGGAAAGCGTTGTGGAAAAATTTCCTGAACTTGCTGACCTATCGTCAAAATCTATCACATCAGATATGAAAGCAGATGTTTATGTCTCGCACTGCAACAGCCCTTTGAGTTTCTATGTGCAACTAGTCAGAGAGGAGGATGAATTATTCTCCCTTGTGGAGAAGCTAAATGATCCCCAATCCACCCCCCAAACCAATGTCGTCAAAGACCTGAATCCAGGTGACCTTGTTCAAGCGGAGTTCGCAGATGATTCCTCGTGGTATCGAGCAGTTGTAAGAGAAGTCCACGGCAAAACGATGGCTCTTGTGGAATTTGTTGATTTCGGAAACACAGCAATGATGCCAATTTCCAAAATTGGCAGACTCCAGAAGTCTATCTTGCAGCTTCCTATCTACAGCACACACTGTATGCTGAGCGAGGCTGCTGGTCTTGGACAAAAGGAAGTGCTTAACCCAGAAGTGGTGTCAGCATTCACGGAAGACATAGGTGGTAGTGGAGACAAGGTGCTCAAGTGCCACTTCGTCAGGCAGTCAGGATCCGTGTGGGAAGTCAGTCTTGAAGACAGTGGTGTGAATGTCATGTGTAAAGTCCCTCCTACTTGCTCAACTGATGGTTCTGAAATTGCCTCGGAGGAGCTTGTCCAAGTCAAGAAACAGCCTACCCAGATCTGGCAGAACGTGCCAGAGAACTCAGAGAAATCACCACTGAACTCCTCTCAATGTTACCACCAAGAAGACTTTTTAGAGTGACAAAAGTTAGAGGTCTACATCACGGCTATAAATGATGCTCAGACCTTTTGGTGTCAGCCCTCGGACTCAGAGAACCTTGAGAAGATTACATCAAGTGTCTCAAAATTGTTGGATGCAGCTGACCACAAGCACATTGACACAGGCTCCATCTCCCCTGGCAGCCCATGTATTGCTCTCTTTTCAGACGGTTTTTGGTACCGTGCAGAGGTCATTGACAGAGATGGAGATGAGCTGTCGGTTCTCTTTGTGGACTATGGGAACAAGACCCAAGTCAACTTTACAGATGTGAGGGAAATGCCCCCTGCCCAAATGGAAACTCCTCCACAGGCATTCTTGTGCGAGCTTGAAGGCTTTGATGCTTCACATGGATCCTGGGACAGCGGTGCAGTAGATGAGTTGTCAGTCCTTACAGTAGACAAAGTGTTACAGCTGACTGTCACCAGAGTAGCAAGAGAAGCAGGAAAAATCAAATGCCTTGTGCAGATGGAATGTGAAGGTCAAGTGATAAATGAGGCACTGAAAACCTGGTGGAAGAGCTCCACGACGGAAAACCAACTTGGTGCTGTTGGACTGACCACTTCATACCAAACCCCACTGCAGTGTGACTCAACTGTGAAAGAGACGGCACCACGCGACGATCAACTAGACTATGCCAAAGACCAAGACATGGATATTGCTGATGCCTGCATTTGTCCTCAGAGAGACCAGAGTGAAGAGCAGAGCACTGGCAAGCTTGTTGACCCCCATGCAGATATTTTGCCATGTGATAGTGGCATAGATGAAACTAGGTTACCTCAACTCCATAACAAAGGGCCCCAAGATATTTTGACCTTGAGCTGTGACAAGAGTGCAGTGGAAACTGACAGAGCAGCTGAAGAGGAGGCTTTCACGGTAATGGACATTAAGCCAGATGACTTCAACTCTCCATTGGATGAGAACCAGACAGAGGCCATAGATGAGTTGGAGTCTCTGCCAGGAGAGGGTCCTACCTACAGCATGGAAAGCAGCTTTGACATCATGAATTGCTCTGGTAAACACATTCATTTCTTCTTTTATCTTTTGTTTCTGATTAGTAAACAATATGGTTCATTCCTGCCTATCAAATAAAAGTAAATTAGTATTTGGAAATCATGTTAATGTGGAAAATAAATGTGTAACATTTGCATTTCCAGATCTGACTGAGAATAGAGATTACAGCAAGGTTACCATGGGAGGGGACACTTCTCTAACCAGTACGACTACAGTGAAAATGGTAAGTTGTGTGACAATGACTCGCAGATAGTAGGTGTGAAGCTGTTTATGCCGCTGACTTGAGCACAAATGGCTAAATAGACTTGATGGAATCTAATTGGGTGTTGTGTTCTCAAGGTTTCCCGTGAAGTACTTTGGCTCAAGGAGACCGTTGATCAGCTTGAGACACATGATCACATTTCTAAAGACTTAGAACAGGTACGTGATGTTTTATGTATCGCTACACACAGCTTACGTAATACAAAACTGCTTCTTGTTCCTCTTCTATTGGTTTTATTGGTGCGTTTTGTCATCTTGTAGAGTCAGACTGAGGTGCTGCCCTGTGGTGTGCTTCCTGCATTTGGTGAGGGATTCCTTCATATTTCCATGAAACACTCATACAGTTTAGGCTTAGGTTTTGAAATTATACATTTTTAAGGCAAGCTATCACATTAGCTTACAACATAACTTACACTTTGGCTTTAGGTAATTAGGAAGAAAAGACAGACAGTGCATCTTTGTTTGAAACTCTAGAAATTGCTTGTGGAGATACATTTGGATAACTAAAATAAGTGTAGTCTATAATACGGTGTGTTCTGAACGTACTGTATTTTGATTGGGATCATCTACATAGATGTTCCTACAGCGCAGGAGATTGACATTGGAGATGGTGCCCCAAAGGAGGAGCTGCCATGTGTCACTGCACATGTTGAGGTAATGTTATGGAAAAGCAATATTTTGGATGGAGTTTTTTCCCTGTACTTTTTGTTGTTCTCGTGCAGAGTAAATTCTTATAGTGTGTACGTGTGACCAAGTTAATGACCGTTTTACAGGACATCATTGACATAGTGTGCCGTTAAGTGATGGATAATCTGTTGTTTTTAGAATGACTTCATGACCGCAGAAGAGACCGTGGCTCATCACAAGGATGGATATTCAGGTTTGATGACATCATCTCTGAATATTTGTTTGCCAAGTTAAATTGTTGGTTTAAACGCCTTTCAGCCTTCTCCATTCGTTTTGATTTGGCATCTGTGTGTGCATACTTAATGTGCACTACGAATGGAGAAAGGGAAACATGAGCCCTATTTGGGGGGTCTAATCAAACCATGTAAATCATTTACATCAGTTGTGCCAGTAAAATGATGATTGTCTTACGCATAAAATAATGATACCAGTCTCTTCCAAACAGTGAGGCAAACAATTTATTAATTAAACACAGGTAATGTATTTATACTTGTTATCAGCCAATACCCAAAGCCCAGGTATTGGTATCCGATCGGTCCATCCCTAATCTAAAGAATTTGTCTTTGTATCTGCAGCCCTGCCAGCCGACTTGGACACAGCAGCCATTGTGACACAGACCTGCACAGCTCCCTCCCAAGTGAAGGTGAAGGATTTGAATCTGCAGAACTTTTTAATCAAACTAAAAGTTTTCACTGAATTTTGCCTTTATTGCTGCTCAGGTTGACGGGGTTGAGGAGGCGAGCTGTTCTTTTGAGGAGGCGAGCTGTTCTGTGGAGGAGGCGAGCTGTTCTGTGGAGGAGGCGAGCTGTTCTGTGGAGGAGGCGAGCTGTTTGACGGATGTCTCCACAGGTATCAGACTTCAGTAGCTCCTGAAGGAACAGGGAAACGATGTGCCAGGCATGCAGTGTGATCATCATAAAACTTGTCACAGCCCTGCTTTGCAGTAGTTGTCAGTGGATGCAGCATCATTCCTCAGGATGTGCTGTGTTTTTAATGATTCAACTGTTCTTCCCTGCACTGCAGACCCAAACGAGCCAAGTGATGACTGGCAAACCACCAGAGCAAGAGAGGATCGTCTCAGCAGTGCATCAGCAGAGGTAAGCCCACATGTTACACTCAGCTCTATCTGATGATCCACTGACTACTTGGCTACTTCTTCATTTAAGTTTTCCACTTTTCTAATAACTGGAAGGCTTGAACTTGTTAAATGTGAAAAATCTGCTGGAAGTATTGAGTTGCCTTCACTGTAGCTTAAAAAACAAAAAAGAATGGGACGGGAATGAATTGGTGAATGAAAACTTCATTTTAGTTAAAGAAGAGAGACTGAGTATGACATAACTATACTGACAGAGGTGGTGCAGTGGAAATGTGCATTACACTGAAATGATCAAGACAGCAAGTGAATATGGAGAAGGCAGGAATATAAGCTTCATCAGTACTGTTAATCAATGTGTGGAATTGTGTTTCCATTAAAATCGCTGCATTTCCTACATTTTAGGTCCAACATGAATCACAATGTCCACGTAGGGAGCTTCCACAACGATTAACTGGTGAGTCATCGCTCATATAATATGTATAATACACTCTAAGATGGTCAAGAATAGATACCGCAGGCATAGTGTGCTTGAATATGAGGTTTTAGTTAAAAAGAGTCACGTTCTGATAAAAGGGATTGTGTATTATCCTCTTACATAAGAGGATAATACACAATCCCTTTTATCAGAACTTGACTGGTTACTACCACTAGATCGATTGGTCTTCTTGGTCCCTCTTTATGTCCTGTTGTGTTCTTAAAGTACGTACAGTGTGTTGATGTGCGGTAGATATGGAGTCTGATGTGATTGTCTTCACAGAAGCTCCTTCAGAGCAGGAAATAGGAGACTTGTCCCTGCAGGATGAGGCCATGCATAACAAGGTAGGGTAGAACCACATTTTATGTCAAATGAAAATCATTTTCAAAGCAGTTTGAAACAATATTGATTATCAGCATAAATACTGTTGTTCTGATACCAGTTTTAGAAATGCCTCCGATACAGCCTAAAATGCTGGATCGGGTATCGGAGATTCTGCGAGTCTATGCACCGATCTGATATATCACGTTATATCATTTATCATCTCATTTACGCTACACATGAACAACACTTGTCACTCGATCCGTACATCCTGCACACGTGGAACTCTTAACAGAGATGAGAAAGAAAGAGAGATGGCTCACTCGGTAGCGACTTCCGACATTGACTTTGAAGTAGCGAACGAGTGAGCCATCTGGCTTCCTTCTTATCTCTGACTTGCACATGCTCAGCACTGATTGGGCAGGTGCCGATACGCAAATACAGGTATCGAAATTGGTATCAGGAAGGAAAAACTGTTACAGTGTCATCTCTATGAATACTGTCCGATTAGCTTTGAGGATTGTTTTCATGAAGCTGCTCTGGATGACAGTTATTGGTGTTCTGTTTTAGAATAACTCTGTGACTGAAGACGAGACCTCGGCTCTTCACAGAAATCACCTTTTTGGTTTGTTGCTGTTTATTGTTCGTATGTCAGAATGGAATGATGAAGCCGAACACATTGCTCTTCTTCTTGGATCCGTCTGTATTCTTTATGGTCTATTTTATTACATTGAGACACAGGATCTTTGTGTAACCTGCCTCTGTGTTTGCAGCTCTGCCATCCGACACAAAGCCACAAGAGTACGCAGTCCGCTGTCCAGATTTGGTAATGGGGATCAATCAATACAAGTTGGATGTGTCGAGAATGAAACGCCAAAACATCACAGTAGTGATAAGTGCATGCTGTCTTTATTGCTTTTCAGAGTGAGCTGAATGAAGAGGTGACCTGTCTGGTCGGAGAGATCTGTCAGACAGTCTGCAGAGGTATCACACTCGATGAGCACATACATCCGCCACCCATGCATTGTGATTTAAGTGTAAATTCATTTTCAGACGCATATTAAGGCCACTCCATTGTTTTTGTAAATGTTAACACTGATATTGATAGAAGGACATGCAGGTTTGACCACAGACTATACTCTGCTGGCTTGTAAGCCTTATTAAACATCTTATTATTTATTTCAGGTCCACATCAAGAAGATGCCAGGGAGGAGACTGAGCAGCTGGTGCACACACCCCCCAGTCCTAGAGAGGTAACTGTTTGCATTCAGGGGAAAAGATGCAGCCTTTTGGCGGGGTAATGACCCTTAGCTAAGCCCCGCCCCCCACTGCGACTCCATCAAGCTGTCAGAGCTATGTTACCATGGAGCCCACACTGTCACTAACTGCACTCCCTGAATACATATTATGTCGTTTTTAGAAAAAGAAAAAAGTGATTTCAGAGAGAAGCAGACAGAAGGGTCTACAATATGAGTTAGGATATATCCAGGATGTCAAAGTGATTCAGCAGTGAAAAGGTTAAAAAGATAAAGATAGAAGCTGAAGTTAAAGTGAACCACCACGTCACCAGAGAATGAAGGACCAACACTGTTCCTGTAAAGATGGATAGCTCTTTATTCACAGAAGGCAGCATGTGTACACATTCAGTATACTGTTGGTAGCTAGCGTAGCATAGAAGTGCTAACGCCAGTCAATAATATGCTAACGTACTTTGCTAATGTTGGTTCCACAGGTTTTTCTGTAGGAGCGTAACGTTTTAGTAACGTATATCTCCTCTGTAGCGAGTTTCACTATTGCACATGGTTTCACCACAACAAGCTCCAGAAGTCCACACGGTTGGTAACTTTGATACTTCAAGTGTTGACCCTTTGCCTGGTGCTCATAGTGGTGTTCATCATGGGCATTATGGAGCTGACATTGGTGTTAATCGGGCAACAAAGCTCATGAGGGGGATTTGTAATGTGTTGACAGTACACAGTGCACTTTGTAGGCGGTGTAACAGAAACGCATAAGGCTTACATGGCCAGCAGTGCAGCAGATGTTTAACAGATATCAACCAGCACAAGGCGTTTTCCCCACCTCACTGCCCCCTGAGCATTCAGAAGCACTAAAGCACTGTTTCAACTATAAAGTACATTGATATACTTGAGTAATGCATTGCAGAATACTGAATCCAAAATGTTTGACAGAGTCAAGAATGAAGAGATGGAATGTTGAAATCACTATAACCACATCTGGGTTATTTGAATACACTGGTTATGTGTTGCGCATGTAAACACCAAATCCTGGTCTCACAAAACATGGAGAGCCGATTAGGCCGAGATCTTCCAGTTATTGTGGCTGAATGTAGCCGTGACTCTGTTTCATTAAAGCAGAGGTTCATACCGGGACATCTTTGTGAAAGAGGCCCCTCCAGAAGGCCTTCTTAGGTTTACAGGATACTGTGACATGTCCTCCACATCTGTGGACACGCAGCACACAGTAAACATGGTCACAACACTCATTGTCTAACGTCACAATCTGTTGATTTCTTCCAGGATTGCAGCAGTAGTGTGCTTGAGGGAGAAATGTCTTCAGATAACAGTTTGGGTAAGTGATGCTGTCAATATTTGATATCAATAATTATGTTAGATGTTGTGAAATGAAAGTCTTGGGGGAAATGGAGCAATTTTAGCATGAAGTAGTCGTGGGACACATCAAAGTATTTTACAATTCAATGAAGCTTTGAACGTCTGTCGTCATATTTTCATTATTCTATTTTATGTCGGCACCCTTAAGATACCATCCTCGAATATGAAAATACTCAATTTGAATGAAGTGATTCATCAGATTATATATATGTGTGTGTGTATATGTGTGTGTGTGTGT